ATCTGTTTCTGTTGTTACTTAGCCATCCCTTTTCCTGCAAGTGGATTTTGTGATAAGATTTAAAAAAAAAAGCTTGTACGAGTCCGGTGTCTGATGGCATATGTAATATTAAAATAAAGATGATACCACTAACTGCAACATATTTTTTTCTTATTTTTTTATTGTGCTTTAGATGAAGGTTTACAGAACAAACTAGTTTCTCATTAAACAGTTAGTACACATATTGTTTTATAACATTGTTTAACAGCCCCACGACATGTCAACACTATCCCTTCTCGACCTTGGGTTCCCTATTACCAGCTTTCCTGTACCCTCCTGCCTTCTAGTCCTTGTCCCTGGGCTGTTGTGCCCCATTAGTCTCATTCTTTTTTATGGAGCTGCCTAATCTTTGGCTGAAGGGTGAACCTCAGGAGTGACTTCGTTACTGAGCTGAAAGGGTGTCCCGGGGCCATAGTCTCGTATTTCTCCAGTCTCTGTTAGGCCAGTAAGTCTGGCCTTTGTTTGAGTTAGAATTTGATTCTACATTTTTCTCCAGCTCTGTCTGGGACCCTCTGTTGTGATCCCTGTCAGAGCAGTCAGTAGTGGTAGCTGGGCTCCATCTAGTTGTACTGGACTCAGTCTGGTGGAGGCCATGGTAGTTGTGTTCCATTAGTCCTTTGGACTAATCTTTCCCTTGTATCTTTAGTTTTCTTCATTTTCCCTTGCTCCCGAAGGGGTGAGACTAGTGGAGTATCTTAGATGGCCACTTACTGGCTTTTAAGACCCAAGATGCTACTCACCAAAGTAGAATGTAGAACATTTTCTTTATAAACTATGTTATGCCAATTGAGCTAGATGTTCCCAGATACCATGGTCCCCATAGCCCTCAGCCCAGTAATTCACTCCCTCAGGGAGTTTGAATGTGTCTATGGAGCTTCTGTGACCCTGCCTAGTACAATTTGTGCTGGCTTCCCCAGTATCATGCAACACATTTTTTGTAAATTAAAAAAAAAAGAAACAAATATTCCATATATAGGGACCAAACCAAACCCACTGCCATCAAGTTGATTCCAACTTATAGTGACCCGTAGGACAGAGTAGAACTGCCCTATAGTGTTTCCAAGGCTGTGATCTTTACAGAAGCAGACTGCCACATCTTTCTTCCGCAGAGTGGCTGGTGAGTTCAAACAGCCGACCTTTAAGTTAGCAGTTGAGCACTTTAACCACTGTGCCACCAGGGCTTCTTGTGTACAGAGAATATTTATCAAGTTATAAGAATACATATATGGCCTATGGAAATACCAGGCAATTTCTTTGGAAGATACAACTTTTTATTAGATTAAAATTAAAGTTTTATTGATTTCTTGAACTAGGTATCTAATATAAACCAAGAAAATAACCATAAGTTCACAGCAGTACTGATTTTTAAATATTAAAAACACCTTCAACTTTTTAAATGGAGTTGTTTTTTGATATCTTCTGTTTTCATTTCTAAGTTATTATACTTCTTTAGTTTTGGGAAACTGAAATTTTCTTTCAATCCTTGTATATTCCGTGTTGTGTGGGTAAGGGTGTATATGTCCCAGAAAGACAGGCAGGTGGGGAAAAGTGAAAATGTTTTTGTATGAGTTGGATAGTCTTTTTGATAAAGTAAATATTTCAATTTAACCATCTCTTATTCTAAAGGAAAGAGTAATGAATGGACATCTTAGCTCTATGGAACATATTAAATAGGGTGTAGATCTTTATTATTTTGGTCCTTTATTCTGTAGGTTTTAAGTCCATCTTCACATAAAGTCATGTGTTTTATTTGTTGTTTCTCTCAGCTGGGAATATTTAAATGTATTTTTGAAACTCTTCCTGTTGAGTCAGTTAAAGCCATTTTAAAATGATAATTTTAACACTTTCTAGAAACGTATACTCTTGGCCCAGGCTGTAGTCTTAGAGTGCACCTGTGTGCACGTGTGTGTGTGTGTGTGTGTGTGTGTGTGTGTGTGTGTGTGTGTGTTTGTTTTTTCTTTTTTTTTAGGTGAAAGTTTATGGCACAAATTAGTTTCTCATTCAACAATTTATACACAAATTGTTTTGTGACATTGGTTGCAGTCCTCGCAATTTGTCAGCACTCTCCCCCTTTCTCTTTACACCCCGGGTTCCTCGTCCATTTGTCCAGGCTTCCTGTCTCTTCCTGCTTTCTCATCTTTGCTTTTGGGCAGGTATTGCCCATTTGGTCTTGTATACTTGATTGGACTAAGAAGTACATTCCTCATGTGTGTTATTGTTTGTTTTATAGGCCTATCTTATCTTTGGTTGAAAGGTGGACTTTGGGAGTGGCTTCAGTTCTGAGTTAGCAAGGTGTCTGGGGGCCATAACCTCATGGTTCCTCTAGTCTCTGTCAGACCAGTAAGTCTGTTCTTTTTTGTGAATTTGAATTTCGTTCTACATTTTTTCCCCCCACTCTGCCTGGAACCCTCTGTCGTGATCCCTATCAGAGCTGTTGGTGGTGGTAACCGGGCACCATATAGTTCTTCTGGGTTCAGGCTGGTGGAGACTGGTTCATGTGGTCCACTAGTCCTTTGGACTGATATTTTCCTTGTGTCTTTGATTTTCTTCATTCTCCTTTGCTCTGAACATGATAGGACCAATAGATGTATTTTAAATGGCTGGTTGCAAGCTTTTAAGACCCCAAATGCTACTCACCAAAGTAAGATGTAGACCATTTTCTTTATGAACTATGTTATGTCAGTTGACCTAGATGTCCCTCAAAACCATGGTCCCCAGCACTCAGCCCCAGTAACTCTGTCCCTCAAGGTGTTTGGATGTGTCTAGGAAGCTTCTATGGCTTTGCCTTGATCAGGTTGTGCTGACTTCCCCTATATTGTGCATTGCCTTTTCCTCTCACCAGAGTTAACACTTGTCTATTATCTAGTTAGTGATTTGCCCTCCCCACCCCCACTTCCTCATAACCATCAAAGATTATTTTTTTCTCTGTGTAAACCTTTTCTTGGGTTTTTATAATAGTGGTCTCATACGATATGTGTCCTTTCGTGATTGACATAATTTCACTCAGCATAATGCCCTCCAGATTCATCCATGTTGTGAGATGTTTCAGGGATTCATCATTGTTCTTTATCGTTGCATATTATTCCATTGTGTGTATGTACCATAATTTGTTTATCCATTCATCTGTTGATGGACACTTAGGTTGTTTCCATCTTTTTGCTGTTGTGAATAATGTTGCAGTGAACATGAGTGTGCATATGTTTATTCGTGTGATGGCTTTTATTTCTCCAGAGTGTATTCCTAGAAGTGAGATTGCTGGATTGTATGGTGTTTCTATTTCTAGCTTTTTAAGGATACACCAAATCGTTTTTCATAGTGGTTGTACCATTTTACATTCCCACCAGCAGTGCATGAGTTCCAATCTCCCCGCAACCTCTCCAACATTTGTTATTTTCTGTTTTTTTGATTCGTGCCAGTAATGTTGTAGTGAGATGGTATCTCATTGTAGTTTTAAATTTGCGTTTCTCTAATAGCTAGTGATTGAAGGCATTTCCTAATGTGTGTGTTAGCTGCCTGAATGTCTTCTTTGGTGAGGTGTCTGTTCATTTCCTTGCCCGTTTTTTAATTGAATGTGTTGATTTTTTTGAGTTGAGAAGCAATGAATCACGTTTAGCATGAACAGATTTCACAGGCTCATTTCATTGTTTGTTTTAGCCTTGTGAATCATTTGGCCTTTTAAAATAGGCTAATCTTTTAATTGAAGATAGATTCAGAAAGGTTTTATGTGCCATGAAAACCTAGGTGGCTCTTGCTACCTCTTTTTAATTCATTTTAAATAACATTAGGTGATCCAGAAGTATTTCCTCTCAATTTTTGGAAGAATGTTTTTGTAAGCTGTAATATTTGAAGTTGTTGTTGTTAGGTGCCATTGAGTCAGTTCTGACTCATAGTGACCCTATGTACAACAGAACGAAACACTGCCCAGTTCTGTGCCATCCTCCCAGTCGTTGTTATATGCTTGAGCCCATTGTTGCAGCCACTGTGTCAATCCATCTCATCGAGGGTCTTGCTCTTTTTTGCTGACCCTTTACCTTACCAAGCATGATGTCCTCCCAGGACTGGTCCCTCCTAATAACATGTCCAAAGTACATGAGACAAAGTCTCACCATCCTCGCTACCAAGGAGCTCTCTGTACTTCTTCCCAGACAGACTTTTTCATTCTTCTAGCATTACATGGTATATTCAGTATTCTTTGCCAACACCGTAATTCAAGTGCATCAATTCTTCTGTTTTCCATATTCATTGTCCAGCTTTCACATGAATATTTGAAGTTAGAACTCATTATAACAACAATAACAACAAAAAACCAAGTATACATTTTCCTAAAGTCTGATTGATGGAAAATAGGATGCAAGCTGTCAGTAAACAGACTTTTCCAACAGAAGCACTTATTTAACATAGTAGCCAGCTTTTTTGAACACAGCAGTACAATGTAACTATTCTTAATTGAATAAAGAAGACAGATTATACTACTGGAAAAATGAGTACCTTGTAATTAATAATTTGTGAGTTAAGCCTTAACTACACTTGACATTTTTCCTTGGATTGGTGACAGACTGATTAATGAGTTAACTGCTGATAGTACCTATTCTGTGGAGAGACTGTTTCAGTTCCAGGGCTTATGGTGTTCAATAAAATAGATATTCTCAGAGGTGGGACTGAAGCTTTAGTCTTGATCAAAGTGCTTTGGAAGAAGCACAGTTGAACTAATTGGCTGTGAATGTTAATCACTCCGTAGGACACACTGATAATTTACAGCATTGTTGTAACTCTCTGGTGTTCATAAAATGAACTTAATAACCCACTACCACCATGGGATAAACTGCTTTTTCTCTGCAATTGAATGCCCAGACTGCCTGTATAACAGTATTGAAAAATACTGCACTAGAAAGAGTGAGCAGCTGTATGATGAAGGAAACAGCTCTGCAGCAGATTTGTTAATTATCTCCTTTGATTCACAGAGGGTGTTTGTGAGATATGGTTGACCAGTGAAGACACGGGGGCTTATGGCAGAGATATTGGCACCAATCTCCCCACACTACTGTGGAAGCTGGTTGAAGTGATTCCTGAGGGAGCGATGCTGAGGCTGGGCATGACAAATCCACCCTATATTTTAGAGCATCTGGAGGTAAGAAAAAGCCCCCCATTCACGTGCTGACACAGACACTAACCAGCCCAGACAGTGTGGCAGCCTCAGGATCATCACACGAGTTTCACTGAAAACCGTTTTCACTTTTTTTTGTAGTCTCACATTACCAAGAAGGGATCGAGACTTTCACGTTCTTTCCTTTGTCGGTCTGCACATCTTGTTTTTGCTTCATCAACATTAATTAATGTTGCCTGGAATGTTCAACGCTTGCCATCTTGTCACAGTTCTTTGGTTCTTCTTTGTAGCCTTTCAGTTTTCCAATGCATAAAATTTCCTCGATTCCTTCATTTTTTTTTTTTTTGTTTGCTTTTTTTCAGTTGTACTTTAGATGAAGGTTTACAGAGCAAATTAGTTTCTCATTAAACAATTAATACACATATTGTTTTGTGACATTGGTTGCCAACCCCACGACATGTCAACACTATCCCCTTCTCGACCTTGGGTTCCTCGTTACCAGCTTTCCTGTCCCTTCCTTCCTTCTCATCCTTGCCTCTAGGTTGGTGTTCCTGTTTAGTCTCGTTTTGTTTTATGGGCCTGTCTGATCTTCGGCTGGAGGATGAAGCTTAGAAGTGACTTCAGTACTGAATTAAAAGGGTGTCTGGGGTCCATACTCTCAGAGTTTCTCCAGTCTCCCTCAGACCAGTATTTCTGGTCTTTTTTTTCTTTTTTTTTTTTTTTGTTAGTTAGAATTTTGTTCTACATTTTTCTCCAGCTCTGTCCAGGACCCTCTATTGTGATCCCTGTCAGAGTAGCTGGTGGTGGTAGCCAGGCACCATCTATGATTCCTGCATTTTGAACCCTGGTGGCACAGTGGTTAAAGCAATCAACTGCTAACTGAAAGGTTGGCGGTTGGAAACCACCAGCGGCTCCATGAGAGAAAGATGTGGCAGTCTGCTTCTCTGGAGATTTACAACCTTGGAAACTGTAAGGGGTCTCTATGAGTCAGAATCGATTTGACTGCAGTGGTTTTGGGTTTTTTTTTTTTTTGGTAGTTCAGAACTGGTAGTATGATATGCTACTTTTGCAACAGTGAACATTGTATTGTTCAACCTACTTGTAGCCATAACAGTAAGGATACTATGCGTTAAATTTGAGGATGAGTTTCAAATTTCATCCCTTCATCTGGAAATTGTTAGGAGTGAAGTAGAATAAGAGGGACACAAGCTGGCAGGAACGTGAGACTCTTGGTGAACAAAGAAGGAGGTGTGATGATTTGAGCTTCCTGGTTTAGTTAATTTTTATACCTTCCATGGATCAGGATGCTTACCTTCAATTAGCTTACTATCAAGCTAGATTAAATGGACATGTACAGAAGTAACTGTGATACCTGATGAAAAATGCCATAATAAATATGAGCAAAGAATATGGACAAGGGAGAAACTATTTAAATGCAAAAGTACTTGGTAGGATTTCTGTTAGCTTCCTAGGGCTGTTGTAACAAAGTACCACAGATTGGGTGGCTTATAAGAACAGAAATTTATTGTGTCACTGTCTTAAAGGCTAATAGTCCAAATTTAGGGTTTCAGCAGGGCCATGCTCTCTCTGAGGATCCAAGACCCAAGGGAAAAATCCTTTCTTGTCTTTTCGAGCTTCTTGTGGCCCTGGGTATTCCTTGGATTTCAGCTGTAGCATAACTTCATCCTCACGCAGTCATCGTCCCTCTGTCTCTTCTCGTCTTTCATAGGACAGCACTCAGATTGAATGAGGACCCACCCCACTCCAGTAGGACCTCATGTTAACTTAACTGATAGCATCTTCAGAGACCCCATTTCCAAATAAGGTCACCGTCACAGGTACCATAGGTTATGACTTCAACATAAAATTTTAGGGGGACACAATTCAATCTATAACAGGATCTATGGCTATTATTTGAGAAATGTAATAGATTATTATATTAGACTTACAGCTGTGGACATGAAATCAGATAAGTGCAGTTGCAAAGTCATGTGCAAAGTATAAAATCAAATCGCTTATATCTTTAATCAAATGAGGTCTTTGCCTTATCTTTGTGCAAGAAAATAATATCCCAAAAAGCTAAAAGCAAGTACAGGCCCATAAAACAAAACGAGACCAATGGGGCATAATAGCCCAGAGACAAGGACTAGAAGGCAGGAGGGGACAGAAAAGCTGGTAATAGGGAACCCAAGGTCGAGAAGGGAAAGCGTTGACATGTCGTGGGATTGTTAACCAATGTCATAAAACAATATGTGTACTAACTGTTTGACGAGAAACTATCTTTATACTTTACCTGAAAATCATCAGATGTTTAGTTCATAGATCGTGGTCAGAGTGATAACAGGTTCCGATTGTCATGACATTCTATTTTATTAATTCTTTAAAATATCTGTATTTTGGCCTTCCCTGCTAAATTGTCATCTTCTTCTTGAGGCAAGGGTCTTGTCATATCCATGTCAGTATTACCCAACCCAGCAGTGGCTCAATGAATGAGTGAATAAAAGAATGAATAAAAGAAGAACCTTCTTCATAAAATAAATTGTAGAGCCCACACTGTAGTCTTAAACTTGAAGTCTTAACCCTGTGGCCAGAAAAGGCAGCAGAAGCTGATGAAGTAAATGAGCTTCAATGGTGAGAATTTGCCCGAAGAAAGCTGTCCACTCCTATAAGCAGAGGGTAAGCCACTATTTTACCATACCAAGGGAAAAAAGCAATCCCAAGGAAACAGAACAAAATAAAGCAAACATACAAACAAAAACAGTTATGCAAAAATAAAAGATCCACACCATCTGGAAATAAGAGCTTTTAGACATTTCCTTTGCCGCTTTCTCAAGTTCTGCACCTTCACACCTCATTTTAGTGTTCTTCTCATTCTCCCATGGATGGGAGAACCCACAGTTTGCAGTGTTTCCCAAACACATCGTTATGCAACAGAAAGAGTAACTGAGTTCCAGAAGACTTCAGTGACTTCCAAGAGTAACAAAGGGTGTTAGGGAAAGGAGCCCAGAGCTGTTGCTCCCTAGTACCAAGTTCCTCAGTCCTGTGCTCAGATATACATTGTATTTCTTCATTTTCCTTTCACTAAACTTAGACCACTTTATAGAAATTACTTATCTAAAGAGTGCTGAAGAGTGTTCTCCCATAAGATAAAAGAGAAAAGGTACCAGTATTAAAAAAAAGAAACAGCAGTGAATGAGAGTTGGAGTTTTTCTTAAACCGAGGGGATAGGAGGAACCCACTCTTGAAATAACTACTCTGAAGCTTTAATACCCTTGGAAAGAGTGTTTCGTGAGAATTTGTATTGGTCAAGCCATCCTCCTTGTGTTTCTGAAAGATGTTTCACATTGCAGTCTTTAGTTATAGAGCACTTCACTGGCCTGTTTTCCTTCTTCATCATGTTCACTTCATAGTCACCTGAGTCTAGAGAGTTTTTTATTTTAGAATCCTTTTACCAAGCCTTTTTTTTCTTTTGCTTTTTTTTTTTAATTGAACAGATTAAAGGGAAAATCATTTGAAGGAAAAAAGCCAAAGTTTCTATTGTATATGTTAAGTACAGTGTGGAAAAATACAGTTAAGAGTGCATTTTATTAAATCTTCATAGGAATAAAAGATGCACATTATGCTTACTATAAGATATACTTTTAAGGTTTTCTCAAGAGTTAAACATAATATGTGAGACTTTATATAGAAGATATTAAATGAACATGTACTGAATGGAAGGAAGGGAGGGTGAATTCTTTATCCTTGTCAGGCAGGCAAGTATTCAAATTTCTGTTTGGAACATCTACAAGCCCCGTTTTTTATTTAAAAGAACAATGTGGGATTTACTTGAAATGATGGTATAACTGACAAAGAGCTATCTCAAATATATATGTATGAAAAATGCCCTGAAATTAAAGAAACATAACTATAAGTTTATGTAACATTGTATTAAGTTTGCATATGATAATAGAAGCAATAGATTAAAAAAATGTTTTACCCTTTCTTAAAATCTGCTGGTAACTCTCCATTGCTTATAGGATAAAGTCGATAAGATGTTTAGCATGACAAATGGTCCTAAAGATACTTCTGCTATTTCCTTGTTCTCTTATCTGTTAATGCCTTCTGTATATTGTTTTTTTTTTTTTACCATTTCATACTCCTGAAATTTTCACTTTACCTTTTCATCATTCCATACTCACCATGTGATGATGACAGTCAGTAGTAATGGGTTAATCAAGTGGTATACTAATATTTGCTACTATGTGCGTTGACTCATATAATGCCCTTTGCCTTCAAGTCAATTCTGACTCATAGCAACCCTACAGGACAGAGGAGAACTGCCCTATAGTGTTTCCAAGGAGCGCCTGGTGGATTCGAACTGCCGACCTTTCAGTTAACAGGTGTAGCTCTTAATCACTACGCCACGAGGGTTTCCAAATAGTGGCAAATAAAAGATATTTCCCCTGTATTTGCTTTCCTACTGATATTGCTAATGTAATAACTGGCATATCCCTCTTTAATGAACTCTAGCCTTATAGAAAGTGGAGCACTTTAAAAAGACATAATTGTGAATGTGATTACTCTTGAAACTACGTTACTTAGTCTTGCCCTCCTGGCGATAGGTAACACACATAAGATATTAATTCAGACTGAAAATAATACATGTGAACGCATCAAGATGTGATGGAGCCAGTGACTGTGATATAATGGCTCTGACTAACCAGACACCAGAAATCACTGGTAACTTTCCTTTAAGTTTGCCTTATAATAGTAATAAAGTGCGTACAATTTCCTGAATGTTTATTATTTTCAAGAAAAGGAACCTTGGTGGCACAATGCTTAAGCACTCAACTGCTAACCAAAAGTTTGTTGGTTCTAACCCACCAGTGCCTTCATGGGAGAATAGACCTGGTGATCTGCTCTCAGAGAGATTTCAGCCTAGGAAACCCTATGTGGCAGTTCTACCCTATCTATATGGTCGCTATGAGTCAGAATCGACTGGACAGCATTTTCAACATACAACAGCATTTTCAAGAAACCAT